TATGGTGTTTTTTTCAGCGGGACCTTTTGTAACTATTATTTCCGGTGGATTTTTAAAGCGTGTAATTTCTTTTTCTCTGTAAATTCAACGAAATAAGTGCATTATTACATTAGCACTTTGCTTCAAGAGTTGATGATTAATACAAAAGTATATGTATGCCAAGTTTGGCATTACAAGGTTTTAAACATGGCATTTTTTTCCAAACTTGGCAGATTAGTCCTATTCAGGGAATAAAAAACATGATACTCCTATTTTGGAATTTCAAAACGTTTTTACTCCTATTTAGGGCATTTCTGTTTTTTTAACCTGATAGTCAAACCACTAAAATCAGTGGGGTCAATGTTAGGGAATATTTTCCATATTCATCTTGGGAATTGTAAATTTATAAAAATGAGTGCATGCTTGTTTTCTAATATGTTTTCGATAGATCAATCATTTATCAAGAATTATCATATATAATGATACCAAGGACTTTTTCACTTTGAGGTTTAAATTGTAATGAGTATAGTGTGAGTGTGTGACCATAATAATAATAAGCAAAACTTGAAGTATTATTCTTACCAAAATGATTGCATTCATAGAAAAGGACAGATTTAGTTTTTCTTTTCATTTAAGTTTTTCGCTATTTCATTAATAACATAATTTTTGAATATTTTTATAAGGATAACCACAATTCTAGCCATTTGGTTCCATTTAACAAATTCAAAAGATTTTAGGACGTGTTTGGTAATGGTTGCAATAGATGAAAAGGTTGAAAAGACTGAAATTCTGAAGTAAAAGTATTTGATAATATATTGGTTGAATTGGCCGATTTAATGTGTAATTACTATAAAGGGAACTAGTTACTCCACCCGTGTGTTGCACGGGAGTAAAGTATTTATATAATAATTTAGATGCAATTATATTAAACCTAAAAAATTTGAAAATGAATTGGTTAACCGAAAACATTAACAAAATTCAAAGCAAGACATGATTATAATACTCCCTCCGTCCCCGAAAGAAGTTCCTCATTTGACTTTCACACACTTTTATGCAAGTAAACTTACCAGGGGGTAAATTTTACTGTTTTGACACTGTTTCGACATTGTTTGGCATTGTTTGACACTGTTTTGCACTGTTTTGCATTGTTTTGATGTAGATAACTTTCCATTTAAGGAAATGAGAGCTTAAATTAGAAACATCCAAATAAGCAAAGTGAGAACTTCTTTCGGGGACGGAGGGAGTAGCAAATTAAGAAATAAATAGTTACACAACGAAATGATTGCATTCATAGAAAAGGACAGTTGGCATACGAAAGCAACATGTATTGAGAAGACTATTGCGGGAATGGCTGCAAATATTAAGGATGGCAATGGGGGCGGGGCCCCGTGGGGAACCACCCTGTGGGGAGGAGTTGGGGCGGGTGGTGGGGTGGGGAGATATTTTCTCCCCGCATAAATATGGGGCGGGTAATGGGTTATGCACCCCCCGCACCGTCCCTGCCCCGTCCCCCGTAATAATTAATAATAATAATCTCAATAATAATACTAATAATAATAGTATAGTAATACTAATACGAAGTAATTAAAATAGCATGGTGGCCCGGTGGGTTTAGTGGTTTCCTATCTAATGGATTGTGCCTAATGGGTCTATCTAATTCTTGTTTAATAACTAAGCTATCTTGTAAAATTGCTTATCAAAATCATAAAGTAAAATGATTTTTTTAGGGATAAAGTAAAATGAATTTGAGAAAGTTATAAAGTGATATTAGCTTAAACGCCCTAGGCACGTTGTGGAAGTTTTTTTCCTTTACTATTACAATGCATTAATTCTTTTCTTTTGAATGTCATCTTTATGATTGTAGTCAGGACTCTTAAAATTTGGTGATCATAGGTCGTCCTAGACGCCGTCAAATGACCATGATTGATTGAATGCAGGGTTTAAGAAAATATTATAGAGCTAATCAATGCTAATTTATAGTTTGATAAAAATGACTAAATTAGAACGCGTATAATGTTTTCTATATTTGAAATGGGATGTAAGATTACATTGACACTTAAAAAGTAAAAGTTTTTTTGGCTACTAGAAGTGTTGAAAAATTTTTGAAAAATTGTCAGAGTCTAATAAAATGATGTTAATTTTTGACGAGTACTTCCCCTGTTGGGTACCCGTGGGTCTAGCGGGTCGGGGCGGGGATGGGGCAGGTCAAATAGTAGTGGGGGATGGGGCGGGGGTGGGGGCAATTTTTAGTCACGGGGCGGGAGATGGGGGAGTGAACCCCCGCCCCAACCCAACCCCGTCCCATTGCCATCCCTAGCTGCAATAGCTGAAATTGAATGTGCAAATCAGCCTTTTCAGTTGCATCTATTAGAAATAAATTTGAAAATAAAAACCACATTAACTTTAACTTCCAATAACTGAAAACAATTGCGCGAATTTGACATAGTAATTAGCAGTCACAGTTGGCATACAAAAGCAAAATTTATTGAGAAGAGCTACACAACGGAAATGCAGCACATAGAAACAGTAAGAGGGAGAACACATAACCACTATGCGTTTAGGAAATAGATGCTATGCGTCTAGATGGAAAACGGAGGACGGTTTTTACAACCATTCCCCTGAAGGACTGAACATTCTTCTCCTTGAGCCTTGATGGAGCCGGCGGCGAATGTCTTGGTGGCGCCAGCATATCTTGTGGCGGTGAGGTTTCATTCCGGCAAGAAACTGCTTGTCAGGTTTTAAGACGTCTAACTCCTTCTCCTTGCAGCCATGGAAATATGGATATCAGCACCTTTTTCTCCTTGCAGCGACGGAAATATGGATATCAGCACCTTTTTCTCCCTGCGGCGACGGAAATATGGATATCAGCACCTTTTTTTCCTTGCAGCGACGGAGGTAAAGATATCGGTTGGAGGAGATAACGGTGGAAAAGAGATAGAAAGAAGACAAAATATCAATACAAAAACTGACGGATCGGATCGGTAGGTAAAGAAATGGAATGATGGAAGGGAACAGAAGGCAAGAAATCAGTGATATAAGAAAGAAAGGGAAGTGAACGTGAAAGGTGGAGATCATTTCTAAAGGGTGAAGATGCATTTGTATTGCAGAAAGGGAAGTATAAGGATTCCCTTTTGTACTAAAATACTGCAGATTACCAACAACAACACATATCAAATGTGTACCTGAATTCATCAACACAGATGCAAGGAAGAGTGAGAATAAAAAATCATAAACGCAAAATCATTCTGGTGGAGAATAAAGCACAAAAAAAATTCTTTTCATACCTAGAAAGCCACAACCAAAATTCTTTTCGTTACCAATTTTATGTTCAAAATCAAAGGTACAAATCACATCCTAATACAAGAAAGGTTTTGCCAATCAAATATACAACTTGAATATGCTAGCTTACCGAATTAGTTGCAGGCCGGATAGGGAGAAAAAATTGCAAAAATGAAGAATAGATGAAGAGAGCTTACCATCAAGATCGAATATGGAGCTGCAGAAGACATTCGGATGCAGTTTATAAGGATAGAGCCGTCTCTTAACATTTAACCGTACAGAAAATAAAAATCAGCTCAAAAAGGAACTCGCAAGCTACTTTTTGGCTGATAATAGAAATCAGCCAAAACAGCCAAGTGAAGTGGTGTTTGGCTATTTTTACGAATTTTCAGCCTGATCAGCCCATTTTTACTCTTCCAAACACCCTCTTAGTGTTTGCAAATGAAAATACGGAGTATTTTATAAATCTAAGGGAAGTTCCAACATCCCTTAACCCAAACAGTCTGTAAGGCAGAAAATGGGACGATTTTTCGAAGTCCCAGCTCCTAAACTTCACTAGGACAAGGTTTTGGGAAGGTTAAATTCAAGAGCAATTTGCCTGGGACAATCATATGCGGAAAATTTGCCTGAGTTGTAATTGGACTACACTCGGTCCAAACTAGACTTAAACCGATTATATTATATCATACTTCAGCAATTAGATCAAATCTCATTTGACTTAAGCAGACTAAAGTAGACCATATCACACTATAAAATTACATTCCAATTAAAAACAACTTACACATACATACTAGATATCCTCATCTTCATTCTGCCCTTACTTGAAATAGATTTAATCAAAACCTACTGGCTTTGCCTATATTACTTCATTACTCTCTTATAAATTTGTCATCTTTTCTCTTTTGTATGTATGAAACCTTTTTAGTTTTCATTTTCTCTTTTAATTAATAAATTTGTAATTCTTATTATATATTTTTCCTCTGGATAAATTTCACCAACACATTTCTTTCGTTGTTATTTCAAGTGTCAGTCAAATTTTGCAAAATTTTGAATGACACGATGAATATTAGACACATATGTTTAGTGAACTTTTATCTAAGAGGAATGCTATAGGTACCCCAAAATGGAGTACACATTCTTATCCCAAAATGGGGTACCTTATTTTTACCCCGGCCTAATGTGTGGCAACAAATGGGGCAACACATTTAAGTTAGGGTAAGAATGGGGTACCCCATTTTGGCTGCTCCATTTGTGGTCACACATTAGGCCGGGGTAAGAACGGGGCACCCCATTTTGGGTACCTTTAGCAATTAGCAATTTAGCATTAGTCTTTGTCCAAAGTAAATGACATGCAGAGAGGGTGGACGGTTCAAGATCCCTAAGGCCCCAAGGCCCCAGCCCCCAAGTCACCAATCATGATCGTTCCAGTTGGGGCCGATGTAGAAGAGGCCCAACAAGGGTACAGTTCCAATTCCTCTGAAGTCTGAAATGGGAACTGACCAAATCGAATCTGATTATATTAAAAAATGGTAAAAAAAAACTGGAAGTAGTATTGAGAACCAGTATTTCAATTCAAGTTACATGCAACCATCCAGAACTGGGCCAGGTCCACATCTACATACAATACCATGCCTAGGTCTCTTACTAGATCTTGTTGATGTTTCTTAGCTTATTCTCATCTTGTTGATGTTTTTTAGCACAGAATATTTTTCTGGAAGATTAGGTCATATATGTGTGTATTGTGTTGACATTCAACTATTCACAACAACCTTTTGCATATACTAACTTTTATTGCAATAATCAGAAGGGGGAAAAGTTACAGAAAGAACTTTATATCAAAAGGTAGTAACAACACTAAATCATGACAATTTAATACTTAAATGTAAAATGACAGTAAAATCATCCAAGTTTCATTGGATTATTATTATTTAAACATTCAAAGTTGAGTTTAGTATAATCTTCTCCTCCTAGGCGGGCGAGAATCTCCACTATCAACATCAGCAATTCTTCTCAAGGATGAATCGATTTCAACCGTGGTGTCAACTGTCTGACCATCGGACTGAATCATGGCCGCAATGCTCGACACAGAATCTCTATCATCAACAGTAGGATAGGTTTCAACCGAATTTTGTTGTTCCCGGCGCATTCCCCTAGAGGTGAGGATCCTTGCAAGAAGTGAGCTGCGTCTCTCAGGCGATTCTTCGGAGTTTGGATGATTTCGTAGTTCGGCCATGTCAAACCTGCTCCCGAGCCGTCGGATTACTTCCTCCACTGGAACAGCAGTAAATGCCGACCGTTGGATTGTCTGCCGCCAGCCCTCGTGCCGTGGTGCTTGAGGCCTTTGCGGAATTTTAGTGGCACTCGGGTACCCTTCAGCTTCAACGCGTGGTGTAGGAGTCCCACGGCCATAGATTGGAGTCACAGTCTTCATTGTCACTTCCCCTTTACAAACCGGACACTCCTTTGCATAGGAATGAAGGTTCAACCACCTGTAAAGACATGGCCAACAATACAAATGCCCACAACAAGTCACAACTGGTTCTTGGGCCAAGTCCAAACATATGTTGCAATCAAAGAAGCTCAATTCATCGCTTTTTTCGTTATCTTCTTTTTTCCTACGAGAAGTGTCATTAGCCTCGCAGATTTGGGACACGCTGCCTGGAACCAGTTCCAACGAGAGATTTCTGATCTCAGGAGAGACTGTGATCAGATCTCTCTGCATTGACCGCCACCTTTGCCTACTACCAGTGCATTGCCTTCTCTGTGGACTAACTCCTTCCCTAACATGGCCATCAACCAGCAATCCTCCTTCCCTAACTTGTCCATCAACCAGCAATCCTTCCACCGATGATTCGGATCGAAGTTGAGTCCTTTGCCTAGCAATCAACTCCTCCAAAGTGATGCTACCTGAGGGGAATGATCTGAGGTCTAGGTAATCATGGGGATGTTCAACAGGCCCCAAGTTAAGATCAAGGTTCATTCTATTGGCTGTCTCGTCCCCCATATCTAATTTCTTCCTTAAAATCAACAGCAACAGCCCTCAATTCCTCACACCCTAACCAAAATCCAAACCTCAATCAAGTAAAAAGCCAAGATGTCAGCTTACATCACTGAATTCATGGTAAGTTCAGGCGAATCAATAAATAGCCAGAACCAAGAGATGATATTGATTAAGAACCCTAACAGCTTTTACCATCGGACTTCATAAAAATAGATAATAAATAAATAAAAGAAAGCTTTAACGAAGGGAAGGGCAAAGAGTCTCAAAGAATCTGACCCGAATCCGAACCTAAATCAGTAATCGAGCTCAAAAACCACGAATCGCAGTCTCGCACTTGTTTTTTCAAAAAAAGCAAAAGTTGAAGAGTACAGAGATAGCGAGAGAATAAACTTTACAGAAACATCAGAGTATACAGAAAGAGAGAGACCTTTGAGGGAAAGATTGGATTTTGGTAGGCGAGCTGGATTGAGGAGGAAGGATTGCTGCTTCAATTCTCTGAAATGACAATTTTCATTTTTTCGTGGTTACATTTCGCTGATGAATACGGGATCTGGGGCCAGGGAGAGCGAGAGAGAGGGGAAAGATACCCTGCATTCCAGCACACATTGGACCCGCGTGATAAATTGACGGCTTGATGCCACTCATTTCCATGGGAAGGGGAATCTCCGCCGCGGTTTTTTCGGTCTCCACATCCTACTCAAAGGTATATTGTTCTTCTATTTTATGATAGAATGTATTGCACAAATGATCGTTTAGAAGGAAAGGGAGAGACTTCAACCACTCTGCATCGTTGTCAAAGCAAGGCAGAGACGTCGTATCTTACTCAAACAGAGTAGTGAAGATTTAGACAGCGTTACGATCAAATAAAAGAAGCTCTCCTTTTTACCAACAATAAACTTTTGAACAGACTCCTTTTGAAGCAACTCTTCATATTTTTCATTAATTTTACAGGTGCAAAGGCCACAAGAGCAAGAAGGAAGAGTTTTGAAATTTGCGTATTCATCTGAGAGACCTTTGAAAAGATTGTAGTAAGTAGTGACGGTCTAAGTATCCTGAGAAATATTATTTAGGGTTTTTTCAAGATAAAAGACTCTAGGACTATCAGTTTTGCCATATCTAAGTTGATTTTCATCCCAGAAATGAATTTGAAGCGCAATAGAGTAAATCGACCAAGAGAGGAGTAAAACATTAATACGATACCAGACAGAATAAGCATGTTAATCATCTGGACTTGGTTGCTTGATGGAGTCATCCGGAAAACCCATCTTGTTCTTCACGCAAAAGGCCTTAGTGACAAACTTCTTCCAGGCATTGAAGTCGACGCCATTGAGTGTCTCATAAATGATGTGAAGATCAGCATGATCACTAGAATGCAAGAAGTATGGAGATGAAGGTTCCTCAGTAGGATTCAGAAGGAATGAAGTAGTCTGATTCATCGCAACAAGATTTTATGCGAAGAATCGTTAATAGGGTTTATGTGAGGAATCAATGAGTTTCAGAAAGGAATTCGATTATAGAAATTGAAGAAAGAGATGAATTCAGAGAAGATGATGGAAGATCGGAGCCTAATCTAATACCATGTTAACAATTGAGCTCAAGAAATTGAATTGTATTGATGAACAAGAATCAATTGAAAAGTTACAGAGACCTTATGAGGAAAGATCTATTATAGAGAATGATGAATTGATACCTAGTTTAGAATAGGCCTAATACATATATACTGAATACAAGTAATACAAATAAGGCCCAAAACAAATTTAAGGTGATCCGAATCAGCAATTCGGTCTTGTTAGTTTTCATACATGATGCACCAAAAGCCACCATATTAATTGAAACTTTCTCGTTATCGGATGCAAACATGAAATCATTGCAGTCAATAGCTACCGAGATGACTAAATAAGCTTGTCTTGCGGGCACGGTTAATATTACTAGAAAACGTTAACTTTAATGTATGTCATTCGTAACTCTCCCCCTCTCATTTCGAATCTGACTTATGAATAAATAACAAACATTCTTACTTTCGATACTAATCGCAACATCTGAACATTTACACTATTTCACATGTGTTATTTACATTGATTTCGTTCTTTACTCATGAATAAAATCAGATAATGCTATCGATCTATCCTATGAAAAACTTGTTGATTATTACATTTTCTAAATGAGGTTTTCAATGTGTTAATTTTTTAAAAGTTGTCATACTAACTAATTAAATGTCAAAAGTTCAAGTTTCTTTGCAAACAAACAATAGTTTACATTTACACTTGTATCCCAAAACGAATTCAATACAAATGGAACTGTACACCAAGAGTAAGTAGGATGGTCACTATAGCACCATATGAAATACTCCCTCCGTCCCTAAATAAACTTCCAACTTTCCTTTTTCGTTCGTCCCAATTAAAACTTCCACTTTTCTTTTTTGGTAAAGAATTTGTGGATCACAACATTTCTTACACATTTATCTCTCCTTTGCACAAATCTCCACCACACAATACCCACTATCTTAAACTGTGTGCCCAACCCATTTGGAAATTTTATTAGGGACGGAGGTAGTACCTTCTAATGAGATAATGAGAGACTCAGCGGCTTTGGTGCTTGCGAGATTCAAACCAAAAGGGTAGCAAAAAAGGGTGGATAAACCAAATGCGATATATGTGGACATGATAATGATCATTATATGGAGTTGGTTTTAATTTCTGATAAAGCACTAAATGTTGTTAACAAAGTTGATCGATCTAATAATATTCATCAAGTCAATTGAGGAATGACCAACACCTTCTAATATAGTAATGTTTAAAGCTTAACGGTGTATTGCTTTTAAGAATAATAATATAATAATATAATATATGTGCTACTTATCTAATTATGTTAATGATCATCTCCTTTACTTCCACCTCAACACCATTTTGCTATATCTTACATTCTTGTCCTTCAACTAGACCTATCAATGGGTCGGGTCTAGACCCAGACCCGATCCAAATCCGCCACTTTATTTGAGGGTATGGGTCTAAATTTAGAACCGTTTCCCGGATTCGGATCCGAACCCGTTACATGATACAGAAAATGGGTCGGATATGGATTTTTAAGTTCCGGCCCGTTTTGGACCCGACCCATGATGATATAATTATAGCTATAGTTTTTTACATATACACACAATATACATAGAAATATTTAAACATAAAATAAGGAAAATAATCAAATATAAAAAATGTTTTAATATTTGTAGGCTTAGTTAGTGGTTGGCCCACTATAATGAGATTTTCGCTAATGAGTTACTACTCTAGGTTCTCTATAACTTCACTAATATACATATAACATACTCCGTATATTATTTTATAGTTCATACTGAGTTATAGATAGAACAACATTTTTCTTATTTATATAAGATTTCTTCCAACATAAACATTTTTTTGTTATATACTCCGTATTATATTTGTTTGCATATGTCATTTATTTATTTATTTTTTGCGGGTATACCCGGCCCGGATCCGAGACCCGTCGGATTCAAATTTGGAACATATGTTTAGAACCCGAAGGGTAAATGGGTTCGGATCTGGACAAAAAAAAATCAACGGATATAGATATGAAATTTATAGTTCCGGCTCGTATCCGACCCGTTGACAAACCTACCTTCAACCAAACATACGAGGTCACTGGTTTCTTTCCCCAAATATACCATCACCAACAAAACTCCCTAATGCTTTTATAGGATCTTTATTAGCTTATTTATTTGGTAAATCTAAATCAATGTTAGGTTATATAAAAATCATTGTGTCAATTTTTTTTATTCTGAATTGGTGTCCAAAAGTGAGCAGGTAGTGACAATTCTTGGTCTATGTTGGCACTATTCATTGAGAATGAAAGGAAATCCCAACAAGGATTTGGTGAATGTATTGAAGAATTAGGTCATTGCAAATGTGCAAGTAGGGGGTGCGATCGGTCCGGTCCGGGTCGGGTTTTAGCTAAACCCGGAAATTACCCGTAAGGTCTCAGGTCATGAAAATCAGGGACCGGAACAAAGCCCACTATATTCGGTCCGAGTCGGGTTTTTTGTAGCCCGGGTTCGGGTTGGGCCGGTTAAAGCCCGGATGTGAAATCGTCTCATTTTCATTTTATATTTTAAAACCTATGTTTAAATAAAATTAATCAAAAGTACAAACCGCAAATAATAACACAAATAATAGTCTCCAAAATCACCAAGAATTCAAATCTAAAGAAGACAATTATCATAATATTTGGTTTAAGATGCATATAAATAAATAATATAGATTTTCTAAAAATGTTACCAAATAAAATTATTGATAAAAATGTGACTAAAGTTACTATAAATATATTTTCATGGTCATTACGGTAAATAAATTGAACATATTTGTAGTCACTAAAACTTACTAAATCATTTTTTCATCCACTCATGATTATAATCATATATTAGGAATTAATTAATATATTATATTGGTATATTATATTGATTTTATATCAAAGTTAATTGTTTCGGGTTTTCATCGGTCCGGGCCGGGTTATAGATTTTAGGGCCCGTTAATGAGCCCGAAATTTCGGGTTCGGTCCGGGTTTTTTTATTCGGGCCGGTTAAAAAGAAAAAACCCGGGCCGAGATCATAATTCGGTCCGGGTTAGGGTCGGTTTCCGGGTTTCGGTTCGGTTTTTCCCACCCCTATGTGCAAGTGTGTAACTATGAGTGGTCATTGAGGCTACCAATGGTACAAGTATGGGTGGTCATGCTCCAGTCCCAGTGCAGGGCTGAGACTGCCCGGTCCTAAAATTTATTTGAAGATGACCGGGCATGAACTGCTATATTCCGGGTCTAGGCTAGCTCCGGAAACTCAGGCGATCCGGTCTCGGACCTGTTATATTTATTTAATCGGTTTCAAGCTATAAAAAAAGCCAGTCCAAGACCAAAATCAGGACTGGAATCGCTCAGTTCAGTCCCAAATATCGGAACTCGGGACGTACCGTGACCAGTTTTCCGAACCTAATCTAGTCCCACACTATATCGGGCCCAGTTCCGGATTGGTCCAGGACCGCCGGCCGGGTCCACCCCTAGGTACGAGGAACTGATGAAGGGATCAAGTTTCAACGAAAGAAAAGCCAGATATTGTAATTTAGAGTTTTTTTGTCAATGTTATCATTACTTAAGGAGGAATGGAACCTGTGGGTCACTTTTATGTACAAATAAAGTAAAATGGTCACTTTTGTACCCAAATATAGTAAACAGATTAGTGAGAGCCGCCCCATTAATCAACCATAAAATCAATATTATACCAGGGACAAAACACGGATGAACAGTACCCGCGGATGAACAGTAACTTTTATTTACGTTTCAGTAGCAGGGTGATGTAACTCCCGTTTACTAAAATGTAACTCACGTTGATAGGAAATGTAACTTGAGTCAAGTTGATATGTAATTTTCTATAACGGAACGTAGAGGGAAAAAACATTGATTTCAATGTAAACAATGAAAAATTGATCCTAATTGCCCAATTACTTTTTATAAATAGTGAATATATTTTGAACTTTTAATATAAAGGCTAAAAAAATGATTTAGTTAAAAATATTTTTTTGATCATTAGCATGATTTATTCAGTGATGTAACTCGCATACATTAAGATGTAACTCGCGTACATTAAAATGTAATTCTGGAAAAGTTGAAATGTAAAGATCTTATATATACATACATAAATATAAGAAAAGAAAAAAAAATGTTTGTGTATATTATCAACATTCATTTCAATGTAAACAATTAAAAATTGATCATAATTGCCCAATTACTTTTTGTAAATGGTGAATATGTTTTTTTATTATTAGGGTTATAAAAAATAATATAGTTAAAAAACATTTTTTATCATTAGCAGGGTTTATTTCATGGTGTAACTTGCGTACATTAAGATGTAACTCATGTATAAACAGATGTAACTCGCGCATAAGAAGATGTAACTTCATATACTATCAAATGTAATTCCTAAAATTGTCTATAAACACAACTCACACATGTTGAAATATAAATCACACAACACAAGTGTATAAAATATAAAATTATTTATTTTGAAGAAAAAATAATTTAATTTTTTTATTGTAATTTAAGTTGAAGCTAAAAAGAAAAAAAAAGTATATGAATAATATAAGGACTAACACAAAAATAAACATAATTAATTTCTTTTGAAAGGATGAAAATTTAATCTCAAAATTGTAATACGTAGGGTACGCATCATTGTTCCTAAATTAAAAAAATGGAAACATGATTGCTTTTGATAATGTTGGTGGAACAATTAGTGGTGTGTGCCGAGTATAGATGAGATAATAAAGAGCATTATGGCTTTTGATAAAGAAAATTAAAAGTAATTAACGAGAAAGAAGAAAAAAAGAAAGAAACGAGGCAGTGGAAGTGTGAGTGTGCACTATGCCGCTACATGTTGGGTTTGCTATTAAAAACGGCACCGTATTAGAACCGACATGCCATGCGCATGGTATGCCGGTTGCACGGTATAATTTTCCATATTATACTCATAATTTACTCTGTAGGTACACATCAGTCATAATACTCCACTATGTGAGTCAAAAAAGCCTTTTTCGAGATAACATTAACATCTAAAGGAACACAACACGTGTAGACTTGTACAAAGATGAAAAATAAATTACAATAAACACTTTGGATGACTTGTTTCTATGTCCACTTATCAAATCACCAAAAAAAATGCATAGAAGTAAATAAAAAAAACAGGGAGAAAAACAAGAGGGGCGGGGGGTATGGGTATTTACTATTTAGAAGCATTTTCTGTGAACAATAGAGGGCCCTGACTCATCATACTCTGCCTTTGCGATCCACATCTGCAATCAAGGAGAAAAAAATAACATAGATTATTAAAGCGGCCTATTTTTTTACAACTTACAAGGCAACCATAATGCATTATGCTATCAAGATGAACCTGTGGTCGGTAAATTTGGATGGAATGGTTAAAAAATATCTATATATATTCATAAAAGAAACTATAAAGGAAATATTTAAAAATGCATGTAAAAGGGTAATTTCTTTTTATTCCGGGTACACAGGCAAACTGAAGTACTAAACAAGTAACCTAGAATGTTGGAAATAAAATGAAAATGTTAAGAGTGAATGTAATAGAACATAGAAGTAAACAAAGGTAAAGGGTGTACATACCTGTTGGAATGTACTTAGAGAGGCCAAAATGGATCCTCCAATCCACACGCTGTACTTCCTCTCAGGTGGAGCAACCACCTTGATCTTCATGCTACTTGGAGCCAATGCATTGATCTCCTTGCTCATCCGGTCAGCGATGCCCGAGAACATAGTGGTCCCACTTCATGATCCTTTCTAATATCTATATCACACTTCATGATGGAATTGTAGGTGGTTTCATGAATGCCAACAGCTTCCATCCCAATCATGGATGGCTGGAACAGAACCTCCGGACAACGGAACCTCTCATTACCGATGGTGATCACCTGCCCATCGCGCAGCTCATATGACTTTTCAATACCCGAACTGGTTTTTGATGTTTCTAGTTCCTGCTCATAGTCAAGAGCAATGTAGGCTAGCTTCTCCTTCACATCCCTCACAATTTCACGCTCTGCAGTAGTTGTGAAAGTGTAGCATCTCTCTGTTAGAATCTTCATCAGGTGGTCAGTGAGGTCACGTCCGGCCAAATCAAGACGTAGGATTGCGTGGGGAAGGGCATAGCCTTCATAGATAGGAACTGTGTGGCTGACTCCATCTCCAGAGTCCAGAACAATTCCTGACAAAAAGGTCAAACCCAATTGTGTTAATTATAATTAAAGATCAAACAGCTTCTATATTTGTATATACATGCGCTCCTTAATTATTATTGAGGAACAATAATACTCTTCCTACCACCTTCTTATTACAAGTAAGAGAACGTAGTGCACTTGTGCAGCCTTCCCGCAGCAATTAGAGAGCTAATTGTGCACATTTGGTAAGCTTAAGTGCGGCTTAAATGGCTTAGTAACTCAATTTTGCAGAAATTGTCCTTCATATGGCTGAACTTACATAATTATTGGGAAAAAAAAGCTGAAATATGTTTTCTGTATAGGTTAAAGGAAAGAATATATAAAAATGTAGGTAGAAATTGATGTCATTTTTACATAGATAGCCAAATTGACAGTTTTTTTGCATCGTGTTTGATAACAATAAATTAGGCTTAGATGGCAGAAGTGACTAAATTTGGATGAATTGTGCTTAAAAAGATTGAATTAGGTGAACTTGATGAATTATCTATAACAAATTATTATTTTCAATATTAAAGAAAATAATCTTTTGTATCATCAAAAATAATCTTTTGATGAATTATCTATAACAAATAATCTTTTGAATAATCTTTTGTATCTCTAATGAAAGTTTTTGAATTGAATAAAAATTCAATTCAAAAAATTCTACCCAAAAGTAACTTCAACACCTGTGTTTTTATCCTCAACTGACTCAGTTAAATAAGTAAGTATTTGGTAAAAATGGGCAAGGAAAATGAGCATAATAAGATGCCACCAAATCACAACAGCAGTAAAACTAAGAATTACTCCGTAATTTTTACCTGTTGTACGCCCACTGCATAAAGGGAAAGAACTGCCTGAATAGCGACATACATGGGAGGGGTGTTAAAGGTCTCAAACATGATCTGCGTCATCTTCTCACTATTAGCCTTAGGATTAAGAGGAGCTTCTGTCAGGAGCACTGGGTGCTCTTCTGGAGCCACACGCAGTTCATTGTAGAAGGTATGATGCCATATTTTTTCCATGTCATCCCAGTTGCTAACAATTCCATGTTCAATGGGGTACTTGAGAGTCAAAATACCTCTCTTTGATTGGGCCACATCACCAACATATGCATCCTTCTGACCCATACCCACCATCACTCCGTTGTGACGAGGTCGTCCAACGATGCTTGGGAATACAACTCTGGGAGCATCATCTCCGGCAAATCCAGCCTGGCAAATCATTCAAGACAAAGCAAATAGGAGTTCAAACCTTTAAATCCCATAACATCATACAAGAAGTCTGAATAGATTTTCATTATTATAGTGGATATGAAGATGCTTACCTTAACCATTCCTGTCCCATTATCACAGACAAGGGGCTGAATATCCTCACCGTCTGCCATCTCCTAATGCCTCTGAAGTTTTAATCAACAACATTATTGATGGATAGTCTACCCGGGGGGTATCTTATCCGAGGAGTTATTACGGGAATAACTAGAGAGAAGTCAGAGTAAATAGGAGGAGAGAGAGTCGATTTTATTAAATGAACTCAGCGTGTGGAGTTGAGATGTAGATCCTTTACAAGGAGAAATGGGCTGCTATTTATAGCAGCAATAAATGCGATGAGAGTACACGTGTCAGTAATCCAACGGCCGAAGGGTTACATCAGCCGGTTGGCACCGGCAGTGGTACGTTTACCGCATTGAATGCGGTTGGCGGATGTGACGTGGTATTAAATGCGGTGGTTGGCTGTTTCCAAAAGGAATCTTTGATGATTGAGCATGTTTGGCCGAAGGCTCCTTGTGTAGCCGAGGGCTCCACGTGACCAAGGACTCCTGTGTAGCCGAGGACCTTGTGTGGCCGAAGGCTCGGTGCTGCCGAGGGCTTCTAGATGCCGAGGGCTTGATGATGCCGATGGCTCATGTTTTTCGCCGATTTCTCCCAGTAGCTTCTATTGCTTGAGAAGGCCATCCTGTGAGTTTTGGAGCCCTCGGCCAAGGAGGCCGAGGGTCCCCCAGTGTGTATTCTGGGCTATGTTGAGGCTTGGGCCGTTGTATTTGGGCTTGAGTTGTTTCCTAAGCTCGATGGACCTGTGTAGGAGAAGTAGGAGTCTATGGGCCGGGGGCTCCCGGGCCATATACTCCATCAGGAGTCCCTCACTCCTTTTGCCGAAAGGTACTTGAGGGAAAAGGAGTAGTTGTGTTGATTCTTCCGGAGGCTTCATCACTTTGTTGGGCGCCTTTGCTTGAGAATTTGCCTTCCGCCATTAGCCGAAGGCTTCCCTCAGTCCCTCACATGTCGAGGGTTTTCCGAAGGAAGTATAATACTCGTATGAATGCCGGAGCCTCTCCTCAGTCCCTCACATGCCGAGGGTTTTCTGAGGAAAGTAGATGTATTGCCTGTATGTGTTGTGGTGAGTGCTGCTTCATTTCCATAAGGGATCAAAATTTCGATACTTGTTTTCTGCCGAAGGGGTTTATTGAAGTATGTACCCGAGGGCTTTTACTTTGTTGTTTGCCCGGAGGCTGTATGCGTCACTTGTGAATTTGTTGCATTTGGGAATTTTTTGTGTATTTTTCGTGTAATTCCCGAGGGGTGTATCCCAGTCCCCCACTCCTTTAGGCCGAAGGCAGGTTCGGGCTGAAGGAGTCATGATGTGTTGATAAGTTCCCGAGGGGGGTAACATTGATAACCCGAAGACTTATATGGCTACGGGCTGAAGGCATCTGGCGGAATGCGTTGGCAGAAGGCTGTGGTGAGCGATGGCCGGAGGCTATTATTCGAGGGCATCCCAGTATTGCCGAAACATAGTCGTTGTAATATAGCCGTTGGGGATGGCGGCCACGTGGTGCGCGCCTGTTGGTCGAAGGGGGCGGGAGTTGCCCATTGGCCGAAACCGCGGCCCGTAATGATGGGCTTTTCGAATCGAGGCCCATGTTTCGAGGCTGGGAGCCTATATATATCCCAAGTCCGGCTCCATTTCCCCTGTGCGTTTAGAGTTGAAGCGAAGCTCTGCCAATTTGTTTCTAGAGAGAGAAAGCTTTCTTCGATCAAACATCAGCTTCCGAGGTCAGTTCCCCCGCTTGTTCTTCGCATACTTAGCATATTTTGCTATTTGACCTTAGATCTTGTGTTATAGACGCTAAGAGCCTTCGGCCAGACCCTTCTACTACCACCTTCTCCCTACTTCTTCCAACGATCCTTCGGGTAAGATGTCCTCGCAAAGCGATTCACAAGACATCTCAAGGGAGCTCTCAGTTGCGGCAGAGAGTGTCTCCGGTGTGGAGTCTTCCAGCGAGCAGTCCTCGGCGAACAATGACCTTGCCATAGCTGAGGAGGTACAGAGCAACCTTCGGGTGGAGATGGAGGCGGAGGAGTTTGAACAAGTGGCCGAAGATGAAGAGATGGTCATTGCCATCCAGGTCGCTGAAGAAGAAGAGGAGAAGGAGCGCCGTCGGGGCACTGGTGAGGCGAGCACTTCTCGGCCGTTGGATGTCCAACCCCTCCGGGTAGCCGAGGGCATAAAGAAGAAGAAGGCGAGGGCTGCCCTGAAGAAGAAACAAGCAGCCGTCGACGCGGGGCAGCCGGTTGGGATTCCCGAGGGCCACTCCTATCCGGACACTACCGCTCTCGAGGTGAAGACCACGGCCACGAGTGCTGAGTGTTATGCCCTGCAGGTCCTTGTGGGGCCGTCGGCGCTGGTTGTGGAGCCGGGCCCAGAAGATTTGCTGTCCCACCCTCCGGAGGGGTGTTTCTCGGTGCACATGTTGTCCGTGGAGTTAGGGCTCAGGTTCCCCTTGCATCCCTTCGTTCTGCAATATCTGAAGTTTGTGAAGTTAGCCCCCTGCCAGCTTACACCTAACAGCCACTATTACCTGGCGGGCTTCCTGGCTCTCTGCCGTAGTCGGAAGGTGGAGGCAACATTGGACCAGTTCTTCTTATCCTTCAACTTGTGCCGGGGGGGTCACCCACACGCCGGGGGGTATGCCAATCTGCAACAGGTGCCGGCCTGGAAGCTGTTTTCCGATACCCCTTCATCCCACAAAGAATGGAAGGAGAAATTTTGCTACATCAGATTAGCTGATAACCCGTTCCCGAGGGCTTTGCTGGACCACTTCCGAAGGCATCCGAAGGTAGGGAGCGCGGCTTTGCAGAAGGCCGGTAAGAAACTTACCGAGAAGCCTGAGGGCTCTGATAAGGTGATCACTATTAAGGATGCCACCCTGCCTGAGGAGTTGTATTTGCTAGGTTTCCTGAGGTATCGTCTGCCGGCGGAAACAGATGAGAAATACCCCAAGATTGATCGAGGGTACCAAAGCGCTGGAGGTTGTCGCCGAGGGCTTCTGTTTTTAGTACTTAGAATAATCTCCCTATATTTTTTTATGCTAACATTTCTCCGTCTTTTGCAGGTGATATCATGGACGTCCAAGCCTTCGCCCGGTTGTCCAAAAAGTTGGCCAAGGTGCCGAAGAAGAAGAAGGAGGATGGGTCCTCGGCGAACCAACCCCTCGTTGATGAAGTCCTGAAGAAGGCCGGGGCCTCCAAGGCCCCGGAGGGTGAGGGGCCCTCCAAGGAAAGTGCTGTTGTAGATTCCGGTGCTGGTGCCGGGGGCTCCCAAGTTGGGGAGCTTAAGAGAAAGAATGCCGGGAAGGGCTCCAAGCCTCCGGTGACCAAGAAGTTGAGGGGGGCCGATGAAGGTAAGGGTGCCCCCCTGGTGATCCTTGAAGAGCCCTCCTCCTCCCGCCTAGTGGATCTTGACGAGGGGGCTTGGCCGCAGGAGACGGTGCAGTTCTCCTTTAAAAAGGGGACTGCCATCGTCCATGGCACCCTTGACCCGAGGGAATATCTGGAGGGCGCCACTCCCCCCTTAGATCGCTCGACCCTCGGCAAATTTGAGGATGAAGCCCTCGAGCGAAGAGCACTTGAGGCCTCGGTCACTGTAAGTTCCTTCCCCTCACTAAGCATATGCTTTGCTTTTACATATTCCCTGTTTGCATGTTTTGACTTTGAGTGTCCTTTCCTTGCTTGCAGGCTAGCCTGGCTTTCGGAGAATATGTCCGGAGGATGGACCAAATTCGCCTCCGGAAGGCGGAAGACGATGAGGCCCTTAGGAGGCTCGTCGCAAAGAATACCGAGGCCATTAGGAAGATGGCTGAGCTAGAGGAGGCCCTGAGGCAGGCGGGGAACAAGTTGGAGTCCGCCAAGGTGGAGGCTCGCGCTGAGGGGAAGGCTGAAGCGGAGAAAGCCGCTGCCGAGGCCACAAAGCAAGCAGCCGAGGAAGCTGAGAAGGCCAAGGCTGAGGCCGCAGCCAAGGCTAGGGAAGATGGCATTGCTTCCTTCGTTGCTGAGGGATGGAAGGCCGAGGACCGCAAGGAGTGGGTGGCCTCGGTCATAGAACAAGGCGTCGAGGGCTGGGTGGCAGGCCCCGGATCCGAATGGATGGCCCTGAAGGGCAAAAATTATTTCGATGGGGGTGAATTCTTCACCCAACGCCTGATTTATAGGAAGCTGGCCGGCCACTTTGGTATTGATCCTAGCAAGTTCGACCCCTCGGCCTACGGTCTTCCTCCCCGGCAACCTGATGTTCGGATCCCCCTTCCGGAGGGTGAAGAGAGGCGCCAGCTCGCAGATTCCGAGTTGATGAGGGAATGCGGTCTTGAAGATGAAGATGAAGTTGAGGACGACGCTACCTCAAAGACGAAGGAGGATGCAGCTGAGGGGGCCCAGACTTAGTTATCTACTTGTGCGTAAATCTTGTAATAGTTTATAGGCCTCGGCTTCGGCCATGATTGTAAACAAGTAAACCTTCTTTTGTAATGAATGAATGTTTTGCCTATGGGCTTTATGAATTGAATGGATGCCTTCGCTCTTATTTTTATGCAAGCCTTCGTTTTGTTGAATGAATGTCTGCTTTCTCGGAGTCTTCAAGTTTGTGGACTTAGAAAATTTTTCTGAGTAATACTTGGCAACAAGCCTTCGGTTGTAGTAAAGGTTCGCCGGGGGATTGTAGTTGTGGGCTTAGGAAATCTTTCTAAGCAAGAACTTTGTCATGTGCCCTCGGCCGTAGCGTAGGACCATCGGGGGGCTTGAAGCTGTGGACTTAGAAAATTTTTCTAAGCAAGAACTTTGTCATGAGCCCTCGGCCGTAGCGTAGGACCATCGGGGGGCTTGAAGCTGTGGACTTAGAAAATTTTTCCAAGCAAGAACTTTGTCATGAGCCCTCGGCCGTAGCGTAGGACCATCGGGGGGCTTGAAGCTGTGGACTTAGAAAATTTTCTAAGTAAGATCCCAGAATATGTCCTCGGTGACTAGGCCCTCGGCGGTGACGAGCCTCCGACTGTAGTGTAGCTTCAGGTTATTGCCCAGTACTTTAGGTGGTCATCGGCCACGAGTGTGTAGTTGAAGAATTGCTCCCCGAAGGGTCC